GAGAACAACGCACTTTTTGCATAAACAAATATACGCACAAGATTATTGGCTACTATTTATAAATCTAAGATTGAAATCTAACTTGAAATATTTTAAATAAAGCCCGCCATAGATATTAATAAAAAATAAATAAACAAAAAACACAACACACGCAAAAACATAATGCCTTTTGGCGTTTTTGTTATATCTGCAATAATATTTTTCGCTGTTATTCGTTCGCATTTAGTTGACTGTTTGAGCCACCTGCGACATGTGTGTGCCAAAAATTTTATTTACTCCGAACACAATCACATCGTTAAGGAAACCGCAATTTGTTGGTAAGTTGTTCTTTGAAGGGGAAATAAAGACATGGAAAAATATTTAACTCCTTTTCACTTTCATATGGCGGTTTGGTCCTGATTTGATTTACAGTTCGGTGTGCGTGTTTCTAAATCAATTCTCGACGCGTCACTTTATCCCATGTAAATGATGGCAGCAGTATCCTGCGGGTCATTTTTATAACGACCGTCAAACCCAAATATTTCCTTGAATTTATGTATTTCTGACAGGACCTTTTATTATTTATTATTTTATTGAAAAAATATGAAAACATATCTTCGGTAATGAAGTGTCACGTGTCACCAAAACCTTCTATATTTAATGATATTTGTAAACCACTTAATTTAATATTATAAAGTACTTTTAAATAAAAAAAATAAAAAATCTTTATTAGAAACTTATATGAACTACACAAAAATTTCAATAATAATAATAATCATAAATGTCCTTATTTTTTTTACATTATTAAGGGCCGGTTTATCAATGTCCAGTTAAAGTTGCAGTTAGTTATCTGGTAGATAATTTCCATGGATACCATTGTTTTCACAAAGATCGATATGAAATTTAACCGTCAGATAGTCTAACTGAAACTTAACTAGAGATTAATAAACCGGCCCTAAGTCTACAAAATTTACATATCTGGGCGAAGTTCATGGAGATAACAATTTATCCCCTACTCTACCACTTAACCCAGGTTCGCCATTTTTTCTATTATGATTTGATGGGTTAATAATTGAGGAGATGCATTCCAAAACTCGGTTTATCTATATTAGGTGATTTTGAGCAAAATATCAAACACCTTTCACGTGAGTAGGTACTAACGCATATCAGGCCTACAGAATACTTTAAACGAAATAAATAGTCATACCTTGATAAAAGGTATAGCTCCAATTTGAAATAATTTAAAATTACATACGTATAAGCCAGTTCTCACATGATATAACCTATAGATGAGGCAAGTTTTGAAACGATAGTCAATTTGTAAATGAATTTTAAATGAAATAAGGTGAGTTTTAGAATATTATGACCTTTTCAGGGTATAGGGGGCTACATGTTAAATATACAGACACCACTAACTCATTTTTATTAAAAAGTGGATAAGCCGAGTTTTGGAATGGACTTCCTGGATTGTGGCAGGTAAAACAACGCGTACTTATTGTTTGTTGTACATTACCATTAAAATAAGGAAACTTTGGTTTTGTGTGAAAACTATAAAAAATAAACAAAGAGGTTTATTATTTAGGACTAAAAATCCACGAATGATTCATAAAAGAGAAATGCATACCCAATGTATAATATAATAATTGTGGTCTAAAGGGATCATTGGGCATTATTTTAAAGCTGTGGCGGCCATTTACTGGATTTGTTGTACCATGCGTAATTTCCAAATACTTTCATATTAAATAACTGAATGTTTTAATACTTTTCTACTAAAAATCATGTTTTATTTTAAATGTATAAATTGCGCTTTTATTGTAACAACCTTATTTATTGTGTTTATTTATAGTAAGATTATAATAATAGTATATTATGTATCAAGTTTTATAAACGCCATTTTAGTTAGTTTTATTAGGCACGAGCGAAGCTTGCAAGCGAGTGTTTAATAAAAACGAGTGTCTAGAGAAACGAATTGCATACTATACTTTATCTACGACGACCACAAAGAAAAATTTAAAGCCAATTTTATTTCTTGAACATTTGATATCTGTCAAAAGTCAACGAATTTAACCTCACTTTTTTCCAATTAATAACAAAGCTAACTTCAGACCGTGACTAAAACGCCATAAAGTCACAGCTCTTCAATGTGGGAGTAGATTAAGTATATTATGTATCAAGATGAATAAACGCCATTTAAGACACAAATTTAATTTAAGCACTAGCGAGCTTGCAAGCGAGTGCTTAAATTAATGAGTGTCTATAAAAGTTTATAAACCAGTGGCATACCTACTATACTTTTTCTACGACAAATACTTATTATTATCTAAAAATGATTTAAATTAAATATTTGCATAGAGCGACATCTATAAAATAATATAGTAACCAACTTGGGAATCTGTTACCGTCAAATGTCAAATTTGTATATGTTATACATCGAAATGTATCCCTTTAAAATGGATTCACAACAGTTTTTTACAGTGAAAGTGAATGAGTTATATTTAGTTTACTGCCTACTACTACTACTGGAGAAATTAAAAGGTCAGTAGGTATAATGTTCATATAAACTTTTCAAATATTGGCGTTGAGAAACTATTTAATTGAGATAATAAAATAATTTTCACATTTAGTATTATTTTACATGAAAGGTACTTTAATTTAACGATTGTATGACATTTGACAAATGTCAACTAACTGTCAACTAACTTTAGCTCGTGACTAAAAACCTGTTGCTAACTTCAGCCCGTGACTAAAACGTCGTAAAGCCACAACACAAAAGGTCATGGAAACATGTACGATAATGGACGTTTTAAAGGTGGTAGTGGAAAAAACATTAAGAGGTAAAATAATTAATAATCATTTTTTAATGGTTTAATACGTTTTAAAGAATTCTAAAATATTTCTAAAACTTTGACTTTTAACCTTAAACCCTTGACCTTTGGCTGACCCTTTATTATAGCTGTAAAGTACTAATTCCGGACGAACGTCGCAAGTGACACCTAGTATTAATATATATATATATATATATATATATATATATATATACAGAGTGTCTATATAAAAATGAGCAATGCTCTATAAGGGAGTGAAAATAATTAATTAAGGTCCTTTAGAAACTTTTTTGTTAAAATAAATTACTACAAAGACCTGGGACAACCTGTATATTTTTGATTTTGTCAATATTCTATAAAAAAATAGTTTTTACTGACAAGTTATGTAATTTTTAGATTTATTTGTTAAATACACATAACCATTTGGTATTTTTTACAAAAATTCAACTTTAAAGAAAAGCCTCTTAAGCTATTTAGCAAACACTAAAGCCGCACGATTCATTTACTAAAGGGACTGCTGAATGAAAATGAAGATAAAGAAATTGATGTCAACAGTCTATCCTTGTAGACTACCATAAAAAGCCACTAAGGCCAAGTATATATTACAAAGTTTGAAATAAGAATAGCACAGAGATAAATATAGCTGAGAATTTATTTCTTGCACCACACATAACTTACTTTGATTTGAAACTGTAAATTTACTGTATTTTTTGGTTTCATGATGCATTGTTATATTTTAAGTAACTGAAAGTAGTAAAATAAAATAGTATTATTATTTTTGAAGTCTATAAAAATAAAAATATGTATTTTCAATGGTTCTTTCCTGCTTGTCCTTATACTCGTGGCATTTATGCTCGTAATGATAGCATCTGCGGTTATTTATGTTCGATTCGCATGATTTCAGTTACTTAGCCTAACGGAAACGCAGTGTTTTAAAGAATAAAACAACATACTTGATTACGATGCGGTATACTTTTAATATTAAAATAGGAAGAAAACTTTATATGAACATAGGTCGTCAAATGTCCCCTAAGGGACCTACAGAGCCCCAAAAGGGGCGCCCCTAAAAACGTTTTATTATTATTATTTCTGAAACGGTTTGAAATGAAATTTATTTTTAGGAAATACATGTATTTTTTAATTAATTTATTTTTAAATTAAAAAAGAAAATGTTTTTTTTTGCAATTTGTTATTTTATTTTTATTTGAAAATAGGGCATTTTATGGAAGTACCTTTTTTAAGTATAAAATTCTACATTTTTATATTCTGCAGCCAAGTTGCACACAAAAAATGTAAGTCTAAAAATACCGTGTTTTAATTTTGTTGTTATTTTTAAATTTACATTAAATTATTTTATCTCAAACCGTTTCGGAAATATTAATAAAAAAAACATCTTCATGTTTATAGAAAGTATTGCACACTATTTTCGGGACTGTATATGTATATTATTTTAAAAAAAATAAACAAAATTAGCGTTGATTTGACAGATGCACGTCAATTATTATTTAAAATAAATTTCTTACAATTATTATAAATAATTATGTATTTAAACAAAAAGTAACCCCATTGTAAAAATTATATATTTTATGTAAAACATTCTCAGGTTTCCAAAAATAATATTACATTTTAAATATTTTTTACTTTAATTTAATTTTTTAAAGTTCATCCAAAAAAATCATGACTACCAACTAAAGTACTTAATATTAATAGCCCAAATCTTCAGTGAGCCATTATTTTGACGTACTTACAAAGTAACTCCACATAATTTTAAAAATATTTTACACACCAATCTAATTATTTAGTGGAATGACCCATAATACAGGGTTCCAAGTCACAGAATTTCCCAAAATTCCAGGAAGTATACCTAAATATATTTAACTTTTAAAAGGCCATTGAGAGCGAGTACGTTTCTTGTACGTTATATTTTTGATATTTGTTTTTGTTAATAATAATAATAACTTATTATAGTCAGGGCCACAGGTAGGCCAATATAACTTTTCTAGGGAATAACGAAAACAATATAGTTTATGGTTTAAACCTTAAATAATATATAGAAACTGAACTCGATATTACTGGAACATAAAAAAATAAAATAACCAATCTAACCTAAAAAGTCAAAAGCATTACAAAAAATAGACTATCTAAAACACTTCACGCATTGACTTGACATTTAAAAATAAAAATCATGAAGTGACATTTTACTTAATATTTTTTGGCCATTAAAAATATTCAGTATGAGTAGTAATTTATTTTTGTTTGAGTTTTTAGTTCAAAAAATTGGGTTTTCAAGCCTCAAAATATCAAAAAAAGACATAAAAATCGAAATCAAATTTGGGGCGGCTAAAGGCATCATTGACTTTAGCATATTTGAAGATGAATTAGATGGTTGTATACAAATTGCCTAGTAGTTATAATAATTAATTTTAAATTTTAGAACATGCTGATGTTTCAACTGAAGAAGTTGTTTACCAGGGCGGCAAATCTTTTTTATTTCCCAGTAATAACATGAATTTGCTGATGAGAATGGGTGAACCAATGGGTTTGAAATTTTTTATTGGAGAAGAAGATGTCGGCTATGCAAAAATTCCATGGAATGATAACTTTTTGGACCTTATAGAATTATCTGTAAAACTGGACTCGGTAAAACCTGCCAAATTTGAAAATCAGATTAAAATTTTATCCGAAGAAAATAAGATCATTGGTTTTATGGATATTTTTATGAGATTGTCGTTTCTGGGAAATACTCTTGAAACTTTGTATTATGTTGACACTAAGGATGATGATTTTGTGTTTGCTAATCCAAATTCCAGCAAAATATTTAAATGCACCAAGTAAGTCTTTCGTTTAAATTGTTTGGCTAACAATAACCCATTTTATCTAGAGTTGGATCAAAAATTCTTCCGGTTTCTTCAATATACAATCCAGTTACGGAATCTAGAGTACATGAAAAGGAACCGTCTTTTGAAGATCTATTTGATAGTTTCATATACGATGATATTGGCGATGATAAAAATGAAAGTATACAAAGTATGGCAACAATCGTTGATAGAAGACATGAAGCTAAATTTCTTGATTTACGTAACATGGTAGAAGAGGCAGTGCAGGATATAGATTTAGAAGCTGTAAAAGAAGTGGAGCTTACGGCTGACAAAATTAATAGGCTAATGTGCAACAAAGAACATTGTCCTGCAGCAGGTAAATTCAAAGACTTTGGAATTGGGCCTTTGGCTACAGGAAAAGGTCTGGGGACTCTTTATGGAGCTGTGGAACCACCAACTTTGTATGGAATGAGTCAGACATACGGAAACTTGGAACAATATGGTCCTTTTGGTGTTTTGGAAAAAACCAGGCATAAAGAGACGGCTAGTTTTAAGAAAATGCCTCTAGAGCCTTTCACTGATAATTGCAAAGTATGTGAAAATAATAGTACATCAACTGTTAATTCTATTTGTTCGGCTTGTGAAAGTGTATTTCCCCCTATGGATTGTAAGGTTTACAAAAGAACATGTTGTGAACCATATACTCCAATGAATAACATTTTAAATGATAACAAAGAATGCGAACTAAATTTGGAATGCTTAATGCTTCCTCCTCTACGATTAAATGGCGGTGAACCAACTACAGATGTGTTACGCTTAACTGGTGGCAGCGATGAATTGCCTTCTCTGTCAGCTAGTAAAGGTGCTTTTATTAAAAGAAACACAAAAGCAAAAAAGGAGAACCCTTTGTTTGAATGCCAAGCGGCCCTAAAACAATTTGATAATCTTATAGCAGCCTATAAGAAGACTATAAGCCCTTGCTATAAAACTGTATGTCCACAAAATGAAAATGTCCTAAAAGATTCTTGTAAAAAAACTTGTACGGACCCTTATGAGGATGAAAATTTAGATGTATTGTCATGTTTAAATTTAAAATGTCCTTATATGAATAACGTGTACGATGGCATTTTTAACTTTCCCCTTATAGGAGATAGGAATACGAATATTTCTTGCCACGAAGTTGATTGTCCTTTTCAAGATCCTCACAACTTACTGGTTACGCAAAAAATGAAGGATGACGAGGTTAAAGTTGGTTGCACGTCGGCTTCTTGTCCATACAAGCAGTATAAAGCATCCCTGGTTGGAGAAGAAAAAGTAATGGACAAACAATTTTTACCTATTGGTGATTTACGACATTGCGGTCATCCCAACTGCGATTTTCCTAAAAATCAAGAGTTGCCACCAATACATTGGGATTGCCCTGATCCCTTGCCAAAGGACAAATGTAAAAATCCAGACTGTCCTTTTAAACCGCTAAAGCCAGAACGTTTTCCTAAGAGCCCTTGTGGAAACGACAGTTGTCCTTACGCTTTACCGGACCCATGCGAATTATTGACGTGTCCTTTTAGGGATAAACCTTGTCCATATAAAGGAAAAGGTGGAGAGGATGAATGTGATGATCCAGATTGTGTTTTTAATACTGTATTACCTTGTTGCCCAAAATCCAGTTCAATGTCTGTACAAGAACCACTAACAACAATGCCATGCTGCGGTAATCCTAATTGTCCACTTACAAGTCCGAGTGGGGCAAAAAGAAATCCAGCAATGGATAAATGTTATAATCCAAAATGTCCATTTTCAAAAGTTACAAAAGATTGCTCTAAACAGTCAAAAAACGAATGCGATAGTGAACAATTAAGTGAAAATTTACCTTTTGATTGTGAAAAGCCTACGACTTGCACGGATGATTCCAACATATGTGATAATCCAGGATGTCCAACAAAAGTACCATGCGGTCAAAGAAAAAAGTCCGATGTTTGCTCAAACCCTGATTGCAAATATAATAGAGATGATGATTGCTTAGATTGTCAAAATCGTATATGTCCAAGAAGTGAAACTTTTGTGGAAGATTCTTGTACAAACCCGGAATGTCCCTATAATTTACTAAAAAGAAAGCAAGACAAACTAAGAAGAAAATTATGCAAGAACCCAAAATGTAAATTTTATAAGGAACTTAATTTAATTGAAGAGGAAGGTGAGGACGAAGATGAATATACTTGTAAACCAACTTGTGGCGAAATTAAAGCAAAGCCAAAAAAAGTGAGAACTAAAGGAAAATTTGTATACTCCATTGGAGATACCTACCCTGGTCACCAGATGGGTCATAGGGAATGCTTACTGAAAAGACTGTTGGTGCCAGCTTACATGGGATGGTTGTGGAATAAACCAATTTTAGGATGTAAAGTAAGTATATACACAATTATAAAAACTTATTTAAATGTAAAAAATGTATTTAGCAACGTAAAGGATGGGTACCTGGTGCAATAGGAAGAACAATAGCTCAAAGAATTAGAGACCACCGAGCAAAGCAAGGGTTGGGAATATTGAGATTACCAATATTTAGTAAAAGTGGCCAACCGACTTGGGCATCAAATGAAGTCCACGTTATACCAAGACCCACATTACAAATCAAAAAGACAGAGGGGAGCTATTATGTTACTTTAAATCCACTTAAAGACCCCAAAACACTGGTTCCCAATGAAGATCCCTATATAAATTGTGTACCTCTCACTTTCAAAATTACCAGAACAACCAATAAAGGTGAAAATTGCTGTTGTAATGAAGAGTCTTCTTCAACTGATAGTGATTTGGATATTGAGTTTACACCACCAGGAGGTATTATAAATCCTGAAAGATTTAAACAGTTGTTTAATGTAATACATTGCGATACGCAGTATAGAGTGGAAGATTTTGAAAAAAAGAAGAAGGGTAAAAAAGGAAAGAAAGACAAAAAAGGGAAAAAGGGAAAGGGAAAGGGCAAAAAGAAAAAGTAAACTTTATTTAAAAACAAAATTGTAAAAAATAAAAGTATTAGTAATAGTTTTATTCAAAATAGTTTTCTATTTTTAACTTTGAGGTGAAATAAATAAAAAGTATAAAATAACTAAAGTTTTTTCAATCTATTAATTTATTTTTGACAATTAAAAAGAGTGGACTCGTAATCAGATAGTTAATAATGTTGGAAAGTGTAAACGAGGCTGTGAATGCATAATTTAATTAAAAAATATATTATTTTTAATAAAAGACGGCAAATTTGTTTATTAATTAGTTTAATATATACTGTTTAAAATTAATAGTATTATCCTAAAAAGCGAATTTTGAGTTTTCATTAATAATATAGATTTTTTAAAGGTTATTTCTTGGAGCTTTAACTTATATAACTTTTACAATTAAATCCCCATTGTATTTTAATATTAAAACCGACGTATTTAATTTTTTAAAGCAATAGCCACAAAACAATGAAAAATTGACAATGACAGTGCGGTTCACACGCCTTTACTTTCAACACAAAACAATGGGCATTTCTTCCGCACGATTGTAGAAAAAATATTATAGATTACTTATAAATTAGAATATTAGGTACCGTAAAAACGGGTGGCTTTAGCTCACTTTCAAACTTAAGCTTAAAATTTTTGAGGTTTTAACAATCATAAACATTAAATATTGCATACCAAAATTATAGTAACTTGCTCTTATAATAACTATAATATAATATTACTTAGGGCTGAGTTTCAAAAATAAAAATTAAAAACTAGGTGTGCAAAAAGTTACCCCCTTGGTTGGTAACTTTGTCTCACAGTGTATTTTCTGTATAAAATTAACTCATTATTTTATTTTATTTTTATTAAACTCAAGTTAACAGCGACATATAGCGATTGCACGGGATTACCGATAAAAAAATAAAAAATCGATCTGTAGTTAACCAAGGATCATCGTTCCAAAGGATTGCGCCTAATATAGAAATTGTAACGCGTGTATTTCTGTAATGCTGCACTGATGCAATATAAACAATTTTTCTATTCCTATTATGGAATATGCCCGTTCTAATATCACTGTTAGGATAATACAAACGTGTTAATAAAATAATTCAAAGGATATAGGAAACCTTAGAAACGTCAGAAATGTACAGGGTTTTTCATTATGATTGTTTAAAAAAGTCATAACAAATCTTATTTTCAAAATTTTTGTCATACATTTTCATATCATGGAAAATTTATATCTATTCGAAATTTTAGTGAAAAGTTTTACATTTGAACCACTGGACCCTTTCCCTGAAAGAGAATTCGTCAAAGTAGAAGTAACCTTTTCCGATTTTGTTTTGGAAATTGAACCTACTGGAGCTGAAAACTGGCCGGAAGGTTACCATTTGTAATTTTAACATTGCCTTATTTTAGTTCTTTATTTATAGAAAGTGGTGGGCATTTAATTTACAATTTTGGAAAATCAATAATTTTTCCGAGCAGACCTTCAAAACTAATCCAACAATCACAAATACCGATGGAACTTATTGTAACCGATCCGTTTAGATCTTTGGGGCAAATTAAAATACCATGGGTTAATTTTGGTAAAATGTTGAATACAAAGACCATTCAAGAAGTTGAGCCCTGTAAAATTGAAGGAGAGTTTAATTTAGTTGTTAAGGATATTACTTGTGCTACAATTAATGTGTTTATTCGGCTTTCGGTGTATGGACAATACATTGAAAGCAAATTCTTTATTAAACAGGATGTTTTTACCAATCAAACTGATTATTGCTTCAAAAATCCTAATATTTCCAAGGCAGTCGTTTGTAAAAAGTAACAAGGTAATATTATATATAAATATAAATATAAACTTTATTTTTAATAGGGTACATTCTGAAGACTGTCCTATAAATACAAAAGTATTTAAAGACCGTTTAAATAAGTTCGATACTAAACAAGATAATGTCTCATGGGAGGCCCTTTTTAAAACTAATCTGGAGGGAAGATTCAGTATGACAAATCCCGAATTTGGACGTTTTATCTCCGCTGTTAGCGCAGTTAGTATGATAAATATGGGCGAAAAACCCAACGAAAAAACAGTTAAAGAAATCTGTGAAATTATACAAAGAGTAATTTTTGACCTGGATAAAGAAGAAAACCCCGATATTGATGTTTTAACGTTGGAAAAAATCCAGCAAAATCTATGTGGAAATAGGGATTGCGAATGGGTTAAAAAATTTGAAGAAATAGGAATTAAATTTGATAAAAATAAGTATGTTGAGCCTTGTAATGGACCGAATGATCAACCTAGAAATTATGGCCTTAGCAAAAGTTTTGGCATGTTTGAATTGTATGGTCCTGAAAGTAAATACAGAAGACCTAAAAGGATAAACGATTCTTTTAGTAGACCTGATAAATACTGTTAATTTTTTATTAATGTATCTACTAAAACGTATTTTTGAAATGTATTGTCATAAAAGTTGCTTTACACACCTAAATAAATTTATTTAGACTAAAAATACGGGGTTTTTTGAAATAAATAGTAAAAAATCAAGGGGGTCGTACCTACGCGTAGGCCACTTCACGACAAGCATTTTTGGGCCAGAGGACATTTCCTAAAGGGCTTACATTTTTTGCTACAAGGTTTTAAAAAAGTAATTTTTAAAGTGTTATTTTTGAAAGTCTATTGGTAGGATATAAAATTACACAAAAGTTGTTTTATTGCTTCACCAATGGCACCAAGTCCTCTGATGTAGATCAACCAAATTCTGTATCCTAAGTATGTCAGGTTCTAACCCAAAATAACCAACTGGGTATGTGTCACTATTAGTAGCATTTTTTTAATTTATTTTGAAATATTAAGTTTAACGCCGTTAAAGTACAATCTTATTTGTTTTCAAAAATGTTTGACGATATCTTCTGCCTCCAACCTTTGAGGATGATCTTGTTAAATTAATAATTAAAAAAACTTTAATAAGCAAGCCTGTTGGCATATTTTAAAATTTTGAGTCCAACTCATCAAAGATTTGAAAGCAGAAGATGTGGTTAAAAAAGTAAAGAAACAATAAAAAGCAGCCTAAAACAAACTTAAACTTGGAGCATTTAAAAAAATCGATCCACCCAGGCCCATTTTTAATCAACTCTCGTGCTAGAGTGGTAGCTTGCTTTGTGTATTTCATAGTATTCATTTTCATTAAAATCTGACTTCACAGCAAATTTTTGTTTGACACTTTGACTTATTATTTGTGAAGTGATTTTTAATTCAGTTAATTTTTATCTAAACTTTTTTTTATTTTTTGGTATTAAATTGATAGTGCTATCAATAGTTTTAAATTTTGTATTGTGGAAATAGTAAACATTTTTACTATGCACAAATACTACAAATATAGGAAAAAGTTCGTAAATAAACATGTTTCATGTATTTAACCATTTATTTTTGTTAAGAAATAAGATCATATTAATTTTGAAGACTGTGAAGTTGTTTTTTCATAAAAAACATAGCATGTCATGTTTTTTTTACAGTACATTTAGAAAAAGTTCTACAAATAAACTACACCAAAACAACAAACGTAAAGATAATTTCATAACCCCAAATTTTGACATTGTTATTGTGCAATCGCAGCGCCAGCTTATTTGAAATTCGGCGCGAAATTTTGCATGCGTGCTGGAGTTCGAGTATCGGTTGAAAATAGCCACTCTACGTGTGCGACACAGTCCCACTCCAAAGCTAGCTTCAGATTTAATTAAAAATGTAGCTTAACCCACACATCAAAAAAACCTGTGCTAGTATTTTATTATATAAAATTACATAATTTAAATTTATTTATTTTATTCTAGAACGTGCGTCTGTATCAGGACGAAATGTGCACTGGTAAAGCAATATAAGAAATTTTGTAATTGAAATATGTACCAAAATTAAAAAGTGCTTTTAGAGATAGGTATTAAAAAATAACATTTAAAATTATTTTTTAACCCTGTAGCAAAAAAGGTAAGCCCTTTGGGACACATGTCCCTAGGATCAAAAATACTTGTTTTGGCGTGACATAAGACTCGTTTAACTTTAATACTTCGGTATTTAAACGATTTTTGCATGAAAGGATATTTTTAATGATATTTAAAATCTTATTAGTAAATAAAATAGCCCATTAGATGCCTATACAAGCAATGGGACCCTTTTGCCAAGCTCAAATAGGACCGCAAACCTTTTAACAGAGGGTTCAAATTCAATACCGGTCAGTTTACACAATGATTTACCTACAATGAACTACTAAATTATTTATAAACATTGCTTTCGGGTCAAATACAATTTAACAAAAAAACACTTACACTGTAAGTCTTACTTATAATCATTAAAAAATAATTAATGGGGGAATTTTAGGATTAATTTTTTTTTGTAGTAAGCTATTGGGGGTGTTTTAACTCATAAGGTACTAGCGTGCATTATATGGTACACACGAAACGTACTTAAATTCACATAAATAACCCCAAAATTAAAACTAAGAACGTTTTTCGGTCGAAAAATATATTGGTGTTTGATCCTTAAAAAAATATCTTGGTACTCTGCATCAAACGTGTTTAAATCGTTATTAACATATCATTTTTTAAATAGTTATTTACTTAATAAATATATATTTTAATTTTAAGAAATATTGCCTTAACCCCTCTTTTACACATAAAATAAAATAATATTTTGCAAAGATGCTAAGTCAAGTTTTAATATTCGTAAGTTACAGGACAGTTTGGGTGATAACTTTGGGACGTGTCTTTTATATTTTCATCGGAACAACTACTAAACGCTAAACCTCTGAGTATGCAGAAGTTGCAGAGTTTACAATGAGTTTTGTGCAAATATTGAACTATATTTTCATATTTTCAAACGATGGTCGAGTGTGCTTTTCTTATTTATTTAAGTAAATGTTTTAATATTTCAAAGTTTGAGCGAACTTTTCAATCAAAGCAAACAATACTTGTATATATTTGTTTAGAATAGCTTTCTCGAAATATGAAATATCGAGTAAAAAGTCAAATACAAAGTGAGTTTAAGGATATAATATATTATGTCTCTAGTTCTTGTTTCAGTATTCATAAATGGTATTTAAATTGTGAACTAATTGTAAATAAAAGTAAAATCAATATAGATTAAAATAAAATTAAAAGTCACTAGTGGAAATAAACGAGCATGAAATTAAAAACTGAACATTCATTAAAACCTTTTGTCGGGGGTAATCAGATTAACGGGTTAACCATTGAATTTTTGAAGTAAATTTCCTGTTGAGCAGTATATTACGAATGCTTTTAAAAATTTTGGTATTTGACAAAGGTTGTTATGGTTTTAAATGAAATAAAGCTTTATTCATTACACTCGCTAAAGTTAAAGGGTTTTTATAATTAAATTAGATTATATTAATATGCTTCTCTTATTTTTTATTATTTTATTTATTTATTTTATTTATTTATTTTATCTATTACTTTTTTACCTGGTAGCGAGAATTTAAGCACAATATGTACCCATATTAAAATCCATTAAGAATTATTCAATAGTTTTTCTTAATACATAACATACAATTATTTTGTACCTTACATCGTACAAATAAATTTACTAAAAAATAATAAAATCGTAGTGGGGACAAAATTAATTTATTTTTTGTAACAACAAAATTGAAAAATAATGTTGGCACATAATACAATTACAAAAGGCTTGCCAAAAAAATTTTATGGCGTAAACGTGGATTTATTTTGCGCTATAAACCCTGAGATTTTCTCTGCTTCAGTTAAATAAGACCGGTTTGTTTCGCTACATAAAAATAAATTTAAATTCAGTCACGATCAAAATATAAATGAGCATGGAAATAAAATTTAAACATTTAACAAATCCCTTTGAATAAGCAGACCGGATTATTCATTTAAAAGCCAGCCATTTTTTAGATATCAAAGAAGCGAGCCTGACCTTTTCATTTATAAATATAAATTAATTTTATGAAAATATACCTATTTATTACACTTCAGCTTCACCAATAAAAATAATGAAACACTTAGGTATATATTAAAACTATAATTCTGTTGGCTTTTTTAAACATTTGTAACTTTTATAATAATAATTATTGGTACACATTTTTTTAGTATGCAAAATAAACTTAATAGTTTTTTATGTTCCGATATTTAGAGCCAAAGTGGATTGGGCTACGTTTTTTAAACTTTTATGATATTTTCTGTACATAAGTACATTTTTGTTGCATTTTCAAGTTCGAGGATGATTTAAGTAAATTATAGATTTAGAATTAAATTGAGTGGGTAACGAATCTTTACTAACGATGCATATTTTTGATTTTGTTTATAATATAAATACATTTGTTAGAATTTTGTTTGCATTTATTTAATTCTAATAAAGATTTACTGATATTTACAAAATCTGTTATTGTAAAACTGAGTTTGACATTTACTTAAGACACATTGTTGCTGTGGCGCTGCTATGTGAGAATTGTACTAGCGTCTAGAGGCACCGAATTATCTTGGCTCCCTGGCTCCTAGACATGCGCGTTTTATAGAAATGTACTCAAACTCAACAACACAACCCAAACGACCCCGCCCCATTGGGCCCTCCCGCCCCATTGAGCAAAAAACCCAACTAAAATGGGCAAATTTATTTTACGATAAAAATAAAACACTTTTTAATTACATAAATTTGCCCATTTTAGTTGGGTTTTTTGCTCAATGGGGTGGGGGGGCAATGGGGCGGGGTCGGTTGGGTTGTGTTGTTGAGTTTGAGTACACAAAAATGTGTACCATTAATTATTATTATAAAAGTTACAAATGTTTAAAAAAGCCAACAGAATTATAGTTTTAATATATAGTTTATAGTTAAAAAACGTAGCCCAATCCACTTTAACTCTAAATATCGGAACATAAAAAACTATTAAGTTTATTTTTTATACTAAAAAAATGTGTACCATTAATTATTATATGTATATATACCTAAGTGTTTCATTATTTTTATTGGTGAAGCTGAAGTGTAATAAATAGGTATATTTTCATAAAATTAATTTATATTTATAAATGAAAAGGTCAGGCTCGCTTCTTTGATATCAAAAAAATGGCTGGCTTTTAACCCGTAACCGGTATTGTGGTGTCTGGGAGACACTCACCAACGAACAAAGCGCTGTCACACCCTCACCTTTTGTTTTAAAAATCTGTCGCTTCCAATACTTTTAAGTTAGGCAGTTATCAATATGCTCTTAGACTTTGAACAGGTTGGATTGTCAAACGGACAAATTATTAGGAGTCAAAGTGTTGAGGTGTCTATTAGACCACTGCGTACCGTTTACGTTATTTTTATAAAACAATTAATTCGTTATGGATTCGCAACAAGGGCCTTCTAAACGTGTCCAAAGTGATAAGAAGGGCTTCAAGGAAACTGTACTATAGTGGT